CAGAAAATATTCCGGGCAGGACATTTTGGTCGTTCATGTTGAGCATTACCACACCACTGGCATTGATTGTAGTAATTGTTACTGGACGAATTGGAATCAACTGGAGGTTTCTGAGCAAATTTAGTGCCCCAAGTCCTTGAAGTGACTTTATCTGCAGTTAGTGCATGTTCAGAAGACCTGGACCTCATCAATTATTGTTGCATTTTAACCGATTCGGCTTGCTTAACATTTGAGACAGCAGAATTAAGTGTTAGATCTGCATTCATTTGTAGTTTTTCAGATAAACTTTAGTCTCTAATCGCTACAACAAGTTGATCTCGTATAGCCTCATCTTTATAAGAAGCAGGAAAATCGCATCTAGAAGCCATCTCATGAAGATCATGAATCAAACTTTCAACACACTCTTCCTCATGTTGAACCCTAGTATGAAACATGTACCTCTCATAGATTACATTTTTAGAAGGAGCGAAATATGTATAAAATTTTGTTAAAACAGTCTTGAAACTTTTACTTTCCTCAGATGTCAAATTAAATTATTCAAATATGCTTTCGGCCTTTTCGCCCATCATATATAGTAAGGTGTTTACCTGATATGGTTCGTCTTCATTGGTGAGCCCAGATACCGCATGAAAGCGCAAGAAACAGGTTTTCCATTTAGACCAGTTTTCTCCTTTAAAATCAAAATGTTCTGGGGAAGGAACACTAAAACCTTTCATCTTTATGTACCGTATTGCTAAAACAATAAAAAAACCCACTGCCACCATGTAGTGTTATCGTAAGTTAAATTAAAATATAGTTTTAATAAAACAAATACTTTATTAGGTAGCTTTTACAATAAATCAAGATCCAGAATGTACAAAAACTAAACAAATAATATTCTAACACCATATGTTTTTAAACACATATGACAACACATACTCATTAAAATTAATGATATTTAACTAGGAAATAAATCTGACAATTTTTAGGGGATTAATTTAGTGGAATTTCAGCTAGGTAAATGGAAATTCCTGATTGTAAGATCGTTGTAATGATGGTATCCCTGGAATATTAAACCTAACAGTACGTCTTTGAATATCTTCTGACTGTTAATTAGAAGAGCGTCTTTATCTTCTACCTCGTTAATTTGTCGTTTTAGGCGGTACTCTCGTTTTTATGAGTTGATTGATATGCCTTTTGATTAAGCGTCCAGAGTCAAGCTTTACCATGTCATGTCGAGAGCCCAGTTTGGATTGGATGTTTTTGCTGTGGTGGGAGAATTTATTATATCTTTATTCTGATAAAGCATTTTAATTGGTGTTGAGTACGTATAGTAGAACACATCAAATAAGCTACTTCAAACCCCACGGTTTTTTATTTGATAATTACAAGAATAATTCTCTCAACTTGCATCGTGGGGAATTTTTCTCATCCATGCGCCCTCAACAAACGTAAAACTTCTTGCTCCCCTGGGCACTGGCCATATTTATTGAAGTGGCCCTGGCCATCACCCTATTTGAGTTGAAACATAAATAAATAGACCAATGACTGCAGTCTGAATCAAATCAAATCATTTATTTGTCTTGTGGATTATATAAATCATTGACATCTTATATATATAATACGTTTTTTGTTAACGCAACTCCTCCCTTATTTGTGGACCAATTTCAACGTTTAAGGTGTCAAAAGATTCGTCTCAATATGTAATTTTGCAATAAGGTTTTAAAATTTTAAAATTCCTACTATAGAGGGCGTGAGATCCTCTCAAAGGTCGCATTTTCCCCATAAGAAATACATAGAACAAATTTTAAAACAAAAAAACAGCTGTTTATAAAAGGAAACTTATTAGCTTTTTGGGAGTAAATACTTTGTAATATTCAGTAGGTTAAGAACAAGTTAAACAGTTAATCAGTTTTGTTGAAAAAACAGAAAATGCCTCAATTAAGTTCAATGAAGAATTCCTTCAAAACAGCTAACAAACTTGGATCTTTGTTGAAAGAGCAGCCTCAGACGACAACTCTGTTTTTGACAAGACTGTTTGACAACTGTTTTTGACAAGACTGGCGTCTATAAGATCAGTTGCGACGACTGCCCTAAGTATTATATTGGCCAGACAGCTCGCTCTTTCAAGAAAAGATTTAAAGAACATCTCCCAAAGAAGACAACATCCGCTCAAACATCAACCTTTGCCGAACACCTGGTTTCTGATAATCACAACTACACTAATATTGACAGCAACATGTCCGTACTGCATATATCTAACGACCATTTTAACAAAAATACACTTGAAGAGTTTGAAATATACTGAGCTGTGAAATTTGACAAACATAATATTTTAAATGACAAACTATCCTTCCAATCTAATTATATTTACGACACGGCCATTAAGGTACTTGAGAGAGAGTCGGGGATGAATGGGGACAGCTGACTGATAACAAGAACAAAGGAATGACGTCACAGCGCCAACCGTCCACGTTGACCAGCAGTCTAGACGCTACATCCATCCGGCCGTGACGCATAATCCTCACCGGTGTTACCATTTTTAGCTTTTACTCGTTAAATCGTACTTTTTTCGTTTCAATGTTCGTGTCTGTGTTTTTGTTCGTAACCGTGACCATGTTCGTGTATGAACGTATGTGTGTATTGACGACCTTCTGATGAAGTGAATTGACATCCCCTGGACGCCCGAAGATGACTTCGTGATAAGTCGAAACTAGTTGCGTCATAACAGCAACAATTTGGATTACAAGAAGCAGGTATTTACACCAATTTTTATTTTCAAAGAAGAAATATTGAAAACGGGAGGAGGAGACAAATAATAATAGTATATCTTATGTGTATGAGGACAGTAGAAAAAGAGAGGTCTGGTCTATCAGATACACATTCACTTGGTGAGATGATTAATATTTGCCAGTTCTGCTATGCAACTTACTTTGGAAGTAAAAAAAATACAACGCACATAGTGTTGTTACGGTGGTAGAGTAAACTTGCCTAATTGCAGATTAAATGAATGCATGCAAGAAATGTTTACCTCTGACACTGACGGATCGAAATATTTAAAAAAAATCAGTACAAAGTATAATAATGCCTTGACTATGATAAGTTCAAGTATAAGATTATACCAAATCTTGGCAGACCTTATGTTTTTATTGTAAACTTTTGTATTACTCGCTCTACTTCAATTGAGAAAAACGCATATAGATAGTTTATTTCTAGGTTATGTTGCCAGTTCCTTGGACAAACTTATACAAAGTTTTTTGCCTGAATTCACCAAAACAATTCAGACATTTCAAGTAAAAAATAAGAAGTTTTAAAAACTCATTTGCTATTGAAAGTTTTAGTGGCAATATTAAACCAAACATAAGTGAAGGAATTAGTGTTTATGTATTCAAAGATCGAGTAGTTACGGTCAAGTTTATTTATGATTCAGGAGAGGCAAATAATATACGCTGTTCAAAAAGTGTAAATGAAATTTGCTATCCAAATCTTATAGCTACAAGAGTTATCCAACCTATTTCGACAAATTAATCCATACTTTCAAAACTTTGGGACTGGTATTAAGAGAAACTCCACTGAACAACGTGAGAACGCTCTGATGCGGGGCATATACAGTGACTGACAGACAACACGTTAAAATACGTTAACCAACTTCCAATAGTGTTGCTGCTTTAGCCTATTCAAAGCAGATTATTGCTGTCCAGTTGGTAACCTAGAGTTTGTGGGTAAAAAATGGAGCACATGAAATGGTTGATATCACCCCAGTATTCAGGATTCTCTACGGAGAAAATTCGTTTGATTGGGTGGATGTCTCAAATCAAAGAAATAAAATGACCCAACTTATATTACTTAACACAGGTTTAAGTTAATCAGTAAGGCAACAATTTTCTTCAATCCTCAATAAAGGAAAAACTTTGTTGCAACATTTTAACTCGAATTGAAGCAGATCATTTAGCATTCATTAGAATTCATCAGTTAAAGCTGAGAGCAGAAAAAATGTTGGTGAACCTTGACGACGCAAATAGAGATATTTAAGATTAGTTTCTAACAAGTGTTTAAACAAGTCTAAGATGTAACTATAATTTCTCGAATTTAAGCATAACGTTTTCCTCGGCGTTTTGTTTCATACTAAGCGGCTCATTGAGCTGCACGGGTTCTCTAGTTGTCATATAACAGCATACATAGGCTTGTCACAAAGTACAGTAGGTACATTAATGTAATAGTGTATGTAGGTAGTGGATATAATAATTTTAATATCTACAAAGGAACGAGAAGACAAATGAAAAAGAACAGAGAAGGTCATAACAGCTAGGAGTGGAATACTGAGAAATCAATAGAAAGACTAAATTATTGCTCAGAAGATGCAAAATAGAATTCCTCGATAAAAAGTTGACAAAAGCAGAATGCTAGAGATTTTTACAGAACAATGCGCTTCTTCTAATCTGGATTCTCGGCACTGAACTATGGTAGTAAAGACAGAAATGGAAACCTAGTAATGGACAAAGAGTCTGGGATTAAAATTCTTGAGAGACTATTTTTGTATGAAGAAATCTAAAATATCGACAAGATCTTATCAACAGCTGATAACTCTAAAGGGAAGGTGGGGAGAGGAAGACACAGCATCAATCTAGACCTACACCCTGAACCCGACACCGTGTTGTAATAAGTTGTATGGCCATGCATTTAACAGTTTTTTGTTTGTTTGTGTTTGTGTTTATGTGTTACGTTTTTTTAAGACTTCCTAGGAGTAAGAGATTTTACATCTAGCTTGACAATGACATCATAGACTTTGAAACCGGTCACCTACAGGTGACTTTAGGATTACATGGCCAGAATAAAGGTAACTTATTCCTGGAGTATGTAATTTGTGAAGTAATCCGGAAGGCAATTTACAAAATGTAGCTAAAATGTGTAAAGTATGTTATTACTGGAATAAAAAAAGTTGTATTATCTGCATATAATGTAACTTTTTTGCTCCCATAAGACGTAAGTTAATATTTGTAATATTGATTGTGTTTTGCTAGGTACTTGTGGAGATCTCAGGTATTGTGAGTGCGCTATACTGGCCTCATACGGCACTCAAGTGTGAACCACTGTACTTCATCCTCTATTGTCATGCTGCACTGTGGATTCTTGTGCTGGTAATAATCCTACTAATATTATGAGTGAGAAAGTTTGGATGTATGGATGGATGGATGGATGTTTGTGACAAGTAAACTCGAAAAATACCGTTCATGTGCTGACAATTTGTGTGATAGCTCACATTCCCGAATACCATATTAGTCCAGGATCTGAAGGGGGTTGAGCATGCATGAAAAGGGTGACGCAATTTTATTTCTGATTGTTGTTATAGGCACTATAGTGATCACGAAAACGCATGTTGTCGCCCCCCAGCGTGGTCGACATCCCGGGGGGGGGGGGGGGGGGGAGGGGGGCAATATGGTGGGGGGCGCCGTTTATTAAAACGCCTATAACTCGAGAACTATTCTAGGTAGAAAATTGCAATAAACGTCAATTTACTCATAAAAATATGATCTTTAAAAATGTTAATGTAGTGAAATTTGTATCTTTGTTGATTTTTTCGTTATTTTAAATTGAAGCTAAAATCTTCAGTTTACAAGCTGTTTATTTTAAGCAACCTAAATTACAAGCTCCAAGAGTCACTGTTAAGGCAAGCATAGCTCATAATTTGGTATCCCTGTTTTCTCTACTTCATTGCCGATCAGCTGATATGCATTGTTTGATTAATTAATTAACTATAAAGGTTTAGTCTTTGAATTTTTATTGTGAATAAAACCAAAGAAAATAGAACCTAAAGGTTCTATTTTCTATGATAAAACTCAAAATGTTGTTTTAAAAAGCTCTAAGAGTATGTATTGTAGAAGAATACATAGTTATTTTATTAAATACCGGTACTGAAATGACGCATGGGGCCTTGATTTCAAACTTTTCATGGCAAAACCCAATGATTTACTTTTAAAAAGTAAATATCGGTTTAAAGTTTTAGGAGACTGGATTTGCATCATTTATTAAGTTGCGAAACACTACGTTGAATATTATCGTAGATTAAAAATACTTCTTAAAGGTAAGTTTGTCATCCTTTTAGATCATCCGGTGCTAGAGGTGTGTTTTTATTAAATAAAATTTGTTTCTTGTTATTTCAGTTATTTTTTTCAAACTTATGAAGCCAAATAAATCAATATACCATAAACAATAGCTCGTCCCTATTTCATGTAACAAAAAAGAAAAGCAGTCATCATAAAATCAACCGTAAAACAATAGAAATACAATTTTGTTGACACTAGTGCCCAGTAGTGTCGACAACATGAACTAGGTATGAACAAAGCTTTAGAATTAACTATGAGATGAGAAGTCTACTTGTGTTCTATGACATTATTCACAATAAATTTCCATAACACTAAACCGTGTTGGAAATAATGCAACAATGTATATCAGCTGATTGACAATACAGTAAAACGCCGACTATCCGAACGCCGATTAACCGAATCGCCAATTATCCGAATCGGCTCCAAGCTTAATATTAAAAATTAAAACTAAGTGCAAAAATTTGACCGACTGCCGCGTAGACACAATGACGTCGCCACCCCGCGCGGCGGTGTAGTGAATTGACATCGAGACAGCGTTTAGATGCGCAGAATGTACAGCGCATGCACCTGCAGCCACTCCCCCTACCCAATGACACGCGAACTATCGATTTTTGGCGGATTCTAGGTCAGTTAGCTCCTCCCTCTTCTATTGTGCGGATCGCTGATTTTTTATAGAGTTGTGAGATTGTCAAACTTGTGATCTTCATTACTGTATGGTTACGTGTGTTAAATAACCAAGTAAAATGAGTGCAAAACGAAAACGTGTTGTCCTATCGCTGAAGAACAAAGTGGAAATAATCAACCAACTAAAAAAAGGAGTGGCGGGAAAGGTATTGGCGGAGAGATTTGGTGTCGGGGCGGCTACGATTACTGACATAAAAAATAACAGTGAAAAGATTTTAAGTTTTGTGACTACGTTGGAAAGTGATAATAGATGTTCGTCACGAAAAGTGATGAAAAAGGCTAAAGATGAACAGCTGGAAAATGCAGTTTTTACTTGGTTTTTGCAACAAAGATCTATTGGACAACCGATTTCAGGACCTATTTTGTGTGAAAAGGCGCAAATGTTCAGTGAAAAAATGGGTGTAGCTGATTTTAAGGCAAGCACGGGATGGATACGCAATTTCAAGAATCGGCACGGCATTCGAGAATTGGATATTGCCGGTGAAAAACTTTCTGCTGTTAGTGAAGCTGCTAATAAATTTGTGGAGACATTTAAAAAAGAAACAGAAATGTACGACCCTGATCTTGTGTATAATGCTGACGAGACTGGTTTGAATTGGAAAGCTTTGCCAAGAAAAACCCTAGCATCTAAAAGAGAACAAAGTGCTCTTGGACACAAAGTCAGTAAAGATCGCGTCACTATAATGGTCTGCGCGAACTCTACTGGTACCCATTGCCTTCCTTTATTATTGATCGGCAAAGCAAAGAAGCCACGGGCTTTTAAGAACGTAGCCAACTTACCAGTGACTTACACCAACCAGAAGAATGCTTGGATGGAGAGCACTATTTTTTTGGAGTGGTACGACAAAACCTTTATTCCTCAAGTGAAAAAATTTAAACAAGAAACAGGAAAAAAGGGAAAGGTTCTACTTATCATGGACAATGCGCTGACGCATCCTTCACTAGATCTTCTCGTGAGAGAAAAGGGGAGATTTAAGTGTCTCTTTTTACCTCCTAACGTGACAAGTCTGCTCCAGCCCATGGATCAGGGTGTGATTGAGTGCACAAATCGTCTTTACAGACAACAGATGCTTCGTAAATTGCTCCTAGCTGAAGAGAACGACGAGGAACAAGTTTTGGATTCGTACAAAAAAATCAACTTAAAAGACTGTTGCTACATGATTGCAGACTCCTGGAACATGGTTAAAAGTGTTTCACTTAAACGGACTTGGAACAAAATAAACGGTACGTCGACAAAAGAGCAACTCGAGTTAGAAAAGCAAGCTAAAGAACGAGAACTAACTGCTGAAGCTGCTGGCGTTGATGAAGACGAACCGGAATTGCCGTCAGTTGGGGAGTTAGTAAACATGGCTAAGGAGATTGCGGGTTGTTCGGAGTGTGATGTCGATGATATGGAAGAGTGGTTGGAATGTGATAGGAACGATCAAGGATACCAGATAATGACTGATGATGAAATCGCTGTGAGTGTCATGGATGAACAGGACAATGGAGATGAAAGCAATGAGACCGGGGGAGACGAAGATGCAGGAGACGAAAGTGTACCATCACATAGTGAGGCGTTCACGTGCTTTGACAACGCCCTCAAATGGATGGAGCGACAACCAGAGTGCGACGGTGTACAGCTTCTTGCCGTCCGGCGCCTGCGTGATTTAGCTGCGCGGAAACGAGCTACAAGGTCACGGCAACTTACGCTGATCGAGATGTACAAGTAAGCGTTGTAAAAGAACTTTTTGTAAAGAACTTTATATTGTACTGTAGTTTTGTTTTTATAAATATCAGCATTTGTTTCTCTACTTGTACTTAAATTCAATTTAACATCTCTATTATGTCTTAGTTATCCACTCAATAAAGTTCATTTGTTGTGTAACACTTTGTTTTTCTTTATTACCATTCTGTGTCTGATTATCCGAATTTTTGATTATCCGAATCGACCCCGGTCCCAATTAATTCGGATAATCGGCGTTTTACTGTAGTTATTTGTGTAACTAGTGTAGCAAAGTGGCACTTTGCTGCACACAAGAGCAAGCGGCTCGTGCGGAATGATCTCGAGTGCAGCAAAGGCCTTTTGCACTCGTGTTACACATTATATTTTTCCTACAGTCACTATAAAGCATATAAATAATTAGTCTTTCAAACACCATACAACACGTTTTTAGGTTCAGCTGGTAACACAAATAGGTGCCCTAGAGAAAGTAGTACCCGGTCCGTATCACTACGCTATTTTTCCTCGGCAAGAAATGTGCTCCGCGACTTGAGAATATAGTTCCGTATTTTGCAATTTGAAGCGGTTTCCGCTCCTAAAAAAATGCTTAAATGGTATTTTCTTGTTTGTTAAGATCGTAGGATTTTTTTAAAACCTTTAAAAAGTCCAGAAAGTAACTATAAACACGAAAGGACAGGTTAAATCGTAGTTATAATAGTCAATCAGCTGCTCATAGTATTATTATCTTTAAGTGTTGCGAACCTATTTCCAAGCGTACACGGATTACGTTCAGACGCAATGGATTACGTGCGTTGTTTTGTGGTAAAAATTAAGTAAATAATTGTTTGTGCAGTTGATTCCAAGTTTTAATTCTGTGTTAAGTTTTTTACAGTCAAATGTCGTATCCTATTTATACTTGTGTTAGTTCAATTCCACAGTAGCACTCTGCCTTTACGGTTCTCCTACTCAATACTATAATGAAATGTCCCAGCATTTATATTTAAATTTAATTGTAAAGTAACAATAACCTATGTAAAAAACAGTTTTTTCCTCTAATTTCTTCCTGATTTTTCATCAATTTTTTTATTCATACACCTACAAACATAAAAGCTATGTTTATTCTTAAAAAGTGTCTCTTGGTACTTGTAATGTCGGTTGCTTTAAAAAGTACCCCTGCCGCAGTAAACCTGTAGACTCAATATTATATTATACTCAAATATTCCCTGAAAACTGTCAGCTTTATTTCCTATTTAAATAAAATTAATTTTAATGAGTACCTAGGTTTGCTGCTACAGGGAAGGTATTGAGGTGAGTTTTTATTGAAATGTTGATAGCTTAGTATGAAATAAACAAAATTGCCAAATTTGATTATAATATATCCATATATAAGCAAACTTCAACCGTTTTTTTTTTATTCTCCGTAAGAATAACATGGGAATTTTGAATTTAAGTTTTTTCTATTATCTCCATAACCATTAGGCATACAACAGCCCTTTGCTATACTAAATTGTTATTTTTTAGGCTCTACAAAATGGTTTAAGAAATAAATTGCAAATTGTTTGGTTATTAAGGTAAAAATGGGAAAAACCCATTTTTACCTTGTAAATTGAAGATTTTAGCTTCAATTTAAAATAACTTAAAAAACAAC